AAACCTGGCAGCTTAGTTCCGCCCTCAGGTCCCAGCAACCTCCCTTTGGTGATGATGGGATTTGACATTTCCAGTGTCCTGATGGCTTTGGTCTGGAGTCGGGGGTGGAGTCCACAAAGCTGTATGGAATTAGCTCAGCACATCCTTTCCCCCTAGCAATTATAACATTGATTCAATATATATAAAGTAGCAACTGACCAAGTTGCAAAGAGAAATTGACAAATTGAGTATCATATGAGGGATTTTAATACTCCCCTTTCATTAATGCAGACAAAATATTAGCAAGTTTATATAATAGTTGGGCCCAAAATTAAAAAACTTGATCTAATGAACACACATAGATCTCTGCATCTAAAAATTAGAAGATGCATATTCTTCTCAAAAGCATGGCATCTTCATGAGCTCACCATATAGCAAGTCTATATCAATTTCAAAAAAACCCCAAAGAGCTTAGAAATGAATAGCAAAAAGATATTTTAAAAAGGCTCATACATTTAGAAATCAAAAAGATACTTCCAAATAACTTATCGGTCAAAAAAGTAATCATAATGGAAATTAAGAACTTATAATTTAATGATATTGAAAGCAACACATATAAGAATGTGAAGGATGATGAGATACTACTCAGCTATAGAAAAAGGTGAACTCTTGCCATTTGTAGCAACATAGGTGGAACTAGATGGGATTATGCTAAGGGAGCTAAGTCAGAAGGAGAAAGATAAATACTGGATGATTTCACTTATTTGTGGAATATAGAAAAACAAAACAAAGAAACAGCCAAAATTAAGCCAACCCTTATCCCTTCATGTGAGGACATGGGAAAGATTAGTTGTCTAGGAAGCTGGCTTTCATTAGATATCTAGTCTGTCTGTGCCTTGATTTGGATTTCCTGGCCTCCAGGATGGTAAGAAGTAAAGATCTGCTGTTTATAAGTTCCTCAGTATGTGCTATTTCTGTTACAGCAGCCAGAATGGCCTAAGATACCAGTCTCCTGCCCAAGCATCATTCATGACTTGCAGGCACTGCTTTACCTTTCTTCTGTCTTTGTTCACTGGCATTTCAGCAACTTGTACAAGCAATTTGTACAGCAATTGTACAAGGTGAATGCCTTTAGCCTACAGAATGCTCCTCAGATTGGTAAGACAATTCCAAAGACTGCTAGAGCAGACATTCTAGCCGTACCACAGCTGTTGGTTACCTTTTCTTTTTTCTTTTTTTTTTAAACATTTAATTATTTATGCATACAAGAGCTTGGGTACAGGTCAGAAATTCAGGGGGTGAGAGGATTCACCAGAGACAGAGTGGAGCACAGAATAGGCATATTGACTGAAATACACTGCTGAGGGGAGCAGTGGATGAGACAGGAGAGGTCTCCCTCGCTGGCTGGGGATCAAACTCATGCTGCAGAGGCTGCGGATTGCCTTGTAGTGTGGTGCTTAACCCCTTGCGCCACCAGGGAGGCCTTGGTCACCTTTGATAGCTCTTAGAGCAACTTGGGATTCAGATTGATAGTGTCCCACCTCAAAGATGCTGTCAGGAGTCACCTTGCTTTCCTCCTCAGGGCCTATTCTAAAGCTCTGGGTTCTTGGAGGTATGGGAGTTACAGTGCTCAAGGCAATTCCCATCCACACAATAGGTGATAGAAGGTAAATGCTCAGTCCAGTATCTTAGAAGTGACAGTGCTGGGAGTGTAACAGGGTGGTCCCCAGAATAGGGGGAGGTTCCGGGTTCCCTGCCCCACCCAAGGGAGGGTGGAGCTGAGCAGGAAGAGAAGAGGATGCAGAGGAGACTGAGGAAGGAAGGAAGCAGGATGGAGATCCAGGAGGAGATCTGGAGGAGGCACATGGGGCCAAGAGACATGGGAAGAAACTGAGCTTGTCTTTTGGTTGTGGACTGGGTGACACAGATGTGGGTGAGACCCGTGGGGAAGTGACAATGGCAGCTTTTATCTTGATTTTGATTTTGCTCTTTTCCTTCCGGGCTTGTTTGGTTGTTTCTGACCCTTTTCTGTGGGTCCCCACTGGAAGATGCTTTAGACTTGTGGCAGGCTTTGGGGCCTTGCTCTGGGCCAATCCCATTTGGATGGAGTTTTACCCACGAGGGGACGGGTAACTTTGGGTGCTTCATTTAGAAACTAGATTCTTTGCCTTTCCTGTATTGTTTCTAAATTGTATTAAAGTTCCTTCCCATTAAAGTCTCATATGTTTTGTGTTGATGCGGCGGATGGTAGAACCCATTTAGAATAGACAGGTTTGCGGGGTTTGGGCTGCCCCTCTCCCTGCCCTGTAACAGGAGGACTTCTGTAAGCTTCTTAGAAGCTTGGTATTAAGTGCAGTGTTGCTGTGGCAGCGACCTTGATGGCACACCTTTATATTGACTTATTCCCCATGTCAATATATCAATGTCATCATTACTACTTCTTGGTATCACCTACCAAAATAATCTCTCTGCATCCAAGTCCTATCTGGTTCTGCTTTGGAAGGGAAACTACACTATGATTACTATCAATCATGTTTTTCTCTCAAAAGAACATTCTACTTTTCTTTTTATAGTTTCTAAATATAAGCATAACCGAATGTTAAAATGGGACTTGCCGTGAAATAACAGTAGGGGACTGTGCCAGTTTGGGACCTCTGAGAAGCAGCTGCCAACAAGGATGAAATGTACAAAGGGTATAGGGGAGAAAATGCCTGTGTGGGTTAGCGCAGGGAAGGAGCTTGGTGTGCAGGAGACAGGAGCCTTTAGATTGACAGGAGGGTTGACACTGTGAAAGGAGAGAGGGAGGGGGAAGACTAAGTAGGAAGAATTTCAGACTGCAGAGGAATTCTGAGGAAGTTCTGGCAGGGTGACAGGAAGTTGTGGAACAAAGTTTGCCCATTAGAGTATCCTGCATCAGGCAGAAATGGCCCACCCCACTCAGCCATCGGCTGGGAATAGCTGGGGGACATGTGAACTTGATGTTTGCGGTGGATCCAAAGGTGTGACAGCAGGAGGCTGTCAGTTGTACTCACCAAATTTGAGAGGCACACTTCTATGACCTCCAGAAGAATTTTAAGTAGAGATTAGAACATCTTTATAGGATTTTTCTGAATAAGGGGTCTGATACCTTCAGTCTAAATTTAAGGAGAGGGTGATCAAGGGAGAAGGTTGGTATGAAAATTACAGGGTGTTGTGGGGTGGGGGGCAGAGGATCTAGTCACTTCATGCAAAGAAAGGCATGCTTCTGGAGAAGTACTTGGAGCTTGGCATGTATCACCTGGTGTTTGGGGACATTCATGAACCCAGAGACAGTTGCCAGACTTCTACAACTCCAAGGAGAGAGGCTGGTCAGAGCTCCTTGTGATCAGAAAACGAGGAGGGTGAACTGCTGTGGCAGCAGACAGCACTTCTAGAGTCTGATGGGCAAAAAGGTGTCACGTGTTTTCTCTGGTTCAGCATATACAAGGTGGAAAGTAGCTGGGTCTGCCTGACAGGGCATGTGACCCTTCAGGGTACCTGTGGGAGGTGAGCCACCAGAAGAGGCATTAGCTAGAAACCAGGACTGGATCCTGGCGCAGGGGGAAACCTTGTCATCTGAAAGGAACCAGTCTCCACAGAGCCAACCCAGAGGATGCAGAACAAGGAAAGACCTTTCCCTTCCCCATGTGGGCTTCTGGGCAAGCGTCATGTGGAGGCTGGTGAACGGTGGGAGCGGAGTGTGGAAGGCTTAAGTAGAATGAGACTGAAGTTTTGAGTTGAGTTGAACTGGACCTTTTAATACTGGAGAATCAGTCTGTTTATTAACACCTGAAAGTGACAGGAAAAGCTATGAAATCTGTCCTAGATTCTTCCAAAGGAGAAGGAAGATCTGATAGAATAATTTTAAAGATAGTGGTGTGAAAAAAGGTGCTGTTTCATGATTTTCCTTCACCAATAGCCCAGTTTTAAAAAATAACAGGCATAAAAAATATCGTTTAATATAGTAAATTGTAACTGGCACCCCCACCCTTAAAAAAACCCACCCAAAAAGTGCAAGGACCAAACATTGCAGCGCCACCATTTCGTTTCCAAAACGCTGTTTATTGCATTTCCATTTGAACCAGAGAGTGCAGAAATTCTCGGACTTCGGGTCCCTTTTCAAACCTTCTAAGTACTGTTTAGGGGAGCCTGGAGCATTACAGGCGGGCCTGGAGGGTCCTTGAGAAGTGATTTCTCTTATTCTATTCATTCATAAGAGCCAGCCAGGGAGGTTCTCCAGGACCCATCCAACGCGCTAGGCATATTTGTGCTTATCAAGCACAGAAACAAGCCTGATTTTAGAAAGAAACGCCTGCCTTTCCCGCAAGCATTTCCAGAGGTCGACTTTGGAATCAGGAATCCTACGTTCCTCCAAGTTCTTTCCAATGCTGAACCCAAATTTCTCCTTTACATAATTCGAAGCTACTCCCTCTTCCGTCCTAGGGGCAAAACAGCAGATCCCACTCCCCGAATCCCCCTGTCCTTGGCCCCCGCCTCTTCAGTCTCACACCTTCCCTTCCGGGGTCCCCCGGGGTGTCCTGCACAGCGGGGTCGCCCCCCACGCCGCGCTGGGGGTCCCGCCAGCCGCTGACTGGCGGGTGCGCTCACGGCGGCCGGCAGAGGGCGCTGCGGCCCCGGCGGCGGGGCTTAGGTCCGCGGGGCGCCGGGCCGGGAGGAGGCGCCCGGGTCCCCGCGTGTGCGTCTCCCGGCGGCCGGGAGGGGGTGCGCGCCTCTGCCGCCCCCCGCCGCCCTCCAGCGCGGGCCCGCCGGCCGCCCGGCGCCTGTCACCGCGCCCCGCACCTCTCGAGCGCCGCGCGCGGGCTGCGCTTCTGGCTCGAGGCGGGGGCTTCGTCGCCGCCCGCCCCGCGGCTCCTCTTTGTCGGGCGAGGCGGCCGGAGGAGCAGCTGCCGCCGCAGCCGGGCCAGGTAGCGCCTGGGGTCCTGCCGGCGGCGCGCGACCCCGTCCCCCCGCTGCCGCCCCGCGCTCGGAGCCGGGGCAGCGGCCTGGGCGGTGCCGGCGCGAGGTGAGTGCGGGGGCGCGAGCGGGCGCCGCCGGCGCGGCGGGGGCGGGCGGGGGCGGAGGTGTCAGTGTTGGGGAGCCGGGCCAGGTGCGCTGGCGCCCCCGGCTCCCCTCCGCGCGCCGCCTCGGCTGGCTCTCTCGGCAAGTTTGTGGGCACCCCCTGGGCGGACATCCTTGGCGGGTCAGCGGAGTCGCGACCTGTGGGTGAATCGAAAACTCGATCTGGAGGAGACTCGGAAGGTGGACGGGGATGAGGGTCTCGGAACCCGCGGGGGTTGCCTCTCGGACCTCTTTCCTGGCTCTCTCCCACCCAGGTGAGCGAATCTTCTTCTCCCAGTGCGTCGGGGTCCGGCCAGGTCTGGCCCTGGAGGCCCTGCAAGACAGGTGCGTGGAGTTGGGCAGCGATGGCAGCCGGGGTCCGGACAGCGCAGTATTTGGCTTTTCTGTCAGCACAGCACTTCATTCTCTCCTGCCTACCTCGTCTGCTTGGACTGAGGTGGTGCAGCTCATTTGCCACCCTGCGTGCTGCCAGGTTAAACATCTTCTGTTTTAGAAGGGATGGTAGGTTGGTTAAAGCGAGTCCCTCCCTCCATCCCCACCTCCAGCTTTGGAGAATTTGTTCCGTGTCTTAATTTAGTACGAATGCGTTATTTCCTTTTAGCTTTTTAATGGCAAAGCAGTGAAGCGGTTTGCTACTTTCATTTTTTCATTCTGAGCCTGTGCGCAGAAGGAATTTCAGGCACACAAGTGATGTTACTACCAGTCTATTTTAAATACAAACACGGAGAGAAGTACTGTTGGCAGGATACCAAAAGCGCCTGTACTCTCCGTTATATAAGTGCTTCAAAAAATATTTGCTCATTGGTAAAGTTATAAAAGTGATTACCAGAGCATCTAAGAAATGAGGCTGAAGATTAAGCAGAACCATAATTTCTGCTTTAAACCCAAACTTTACCTGAGGATAATCGTGATCTTAGCTTGAGATGCCCTTGAAGAGGATATACAGCTCTTTCTTTGACATTATTAGGTAGAATTACCAAACATTAAAAAATAGGTTTTGTAAAGGCTGTTAAGAAACGTGGTGAAGATTCTTTGATTTGATTGATAGTCATAAAAAAAGGTCCCACAGATACTCTGTATGGTTTTCTAACAGTTGAAGGATTTTATTTTGATATGTGATAGAAACTTAGTAATTATGAGCTGCCAGTATTTAAGGACTTCTCTCTCTCCCCTCCTCCAATAAAACCTCTATTCATTATTATGCTTATTTTTTCAGGTAAGAAGAAGACATCAGATATACTGATGTCTAGACATCCCCTTTTTGTACCGCCTCATCCTCCTCTGCCATTCTAATTGGTTTTTGGTGATACTGTGGCATTGGGATGTTGACAGCTCCCTCAGTGATTATAATGTGCAGCCAGGGTTGAGGCCTGTTGGGTAGCAATGTTTCTTTTAATTTGTCACTTGACCGTTCAAGGTGTGGCCAGAGTGGTTTAAGTAAAAAAAATCAGTGATTTGAAATATAGGGAGAGGAAAATGGTATTAAAAAGGAGATGTGTTGGATAATTATAGCATATATACACTTTTGGATTTTGTCTAGATATCTTTGATTTTTTCTAAGCCTGCACAGAATAGGTTTATCAGGGAGCCATGTCAATAATTATGGGAGTCTGAAATGGGACATTTCTTTGTGCAGAGGTAATGGTGAAGTTGAGTAGTAGTGTCAGGATATTCCTTTATGTTTATATGAAAGGCTAGTCAAGACTTATTAAAGGTTATTTTCTCCATCCATTTAAAAACTTGTTATATTACTATAGACTAGTAAATTAAGTGTGAAATACTTACTGTTTTTAACGTCAGAGATAAAGCTGACTGCTGTATCACTGTTTTTGGTTTACCTTATGTAATTCCAAACATTCAAATCTGAGAGCAGACCTTATGGAAGGCTTATGTAAGAAGCCTTACGATTATGCATTTCCTAGTCCAGTTAATTCCCTGTTTTGGTTATTACGTAACTGACACAGTACTAGACTGTGAAAGCCAAATTTGGGGAAAGACATACAACCTCAGTCCAGCACATGCACCTTTGTAATGCATTGTTGCTGGAGAATTAGAACAGCATGGTGGTTTGTGAAAGAGAGATAAGAATAACATCTAGAGGATTGATGTAATATAAAACTGTTATGCTTAACGGTTTTCTAGAGATTTTAATACTGCAGTATAAACCTTTCCAGTCTTTATATCTCCCAGCAGAGGCAGATTGACTGGGAAGCTAATGAATCTTAAGCTTCAGGGCTCCTCACACGGGCTTCTGGCAGCCCCTGGAAGGGCCCCTGGCAATGTTCACGTGGTCATACCTGAGTTTGTAATTTTGGATTCTTTTTAAAAAAGGAAGATACTGTCCTCAGCCTTCCCACCTCTCATTATATAAACATAAGGCTTCATAAGCCTGCATCTGCCCCTGCCTCCAAATTATGCTCAAATGTTAACTTATCAAAATGTTTTTTCTTCCTGAAGACAAGAGAGGAAATCTGGCCAGTATTGTGGTTGACCTGCTGGGAAAGTGAGAGAGCCCCGTGTGACCCAGGACTGTGTGGAACTAGTAGAATCAGGTGGTCACTGGAGAACGAACTCTGCCTCGTGATATCACATGAACAAGACGTTTTTGGGTTCGAATGTGAGCTGTAGGTGGAGAACTGAGACGTGGGTGAGAGTTGGAGGAAAATGGGTTAAAGCTCCTCCACATGTCTGAGGCAGGCGGCCAAGGGAAAGGAGGAAAAATCAACTACTGAAAGATGCTTCATTAATAAAAAGTTATTAAAAACAGATAGCATCAGCTTCATAGGAGATCTTCTTAGGATCTTCTCTAATTTGAAGTTGATGCAGTGAACAAACTCAGATCTAAAAAATATGCTTCAGGAAACCATTTGTGGGTCACGGAGACCTAGACAACTATTGCCTTGTTCCCATTAGCAGTTTTTATGAGTAAGTGGGAGTCTTAACATGTCCATTGTAGGAATGTTTGAGAAGGAGTTGTTTCTTGTTTTCTTTGTTCTTGACTGTCTTCTTTGAAAACACTAGCCCTTCAGATCCTCTACCTATTTTTTTTTTAATGATTGCTTTTTTTTTTTGTGCTATTGACTGTGTGAGTTGGATGTCAACCCCTTATCAGATATGTGATTTACACATATTTTCTCCCATTTCATAGGTTGCCTTTGTGGTTTGTTAATACTTCCCTTTGCTGTGCAGAAGCACCATTTTTTTTCTTTAAAGATTTATTTATTTATTTATATAAGCACTGAGTACAGTCAGAGGCGCAGGAGGGTGAGAGAATTCACCAGAGCCAGAGCGGGGAACAGAACAGGCAGATTGACGAAATACACTGCTGAGGAGAGCAGCAGGTGTGGCAGGAGAGGTCTGCACGCCATGTGGGACCCTTGCCAGTGGCCAGGGATTGAACCGGCGCTGCAGATGCTGTGGGCAGCTTCGCAGCCCAGTGCTCAACCGCTGCGCCACCAAGGGAGGCCCAGAAGCACCAATTTTGATTGCTGTTCCAGAGGCCCAAGTCCATGTTTCGATTTTTTTTTTTTTTACTTTGTATGACTTCATTGCTTTATCTGTTATCTGATGGTATTTAACCTTTCCTCATAAGGTTTTCACAAACTGTGATTATTTTCTTACATTGTTGTTTATTTTTGGACAGTATTTGATGTCTCCCCTCAGGTGTATCCCATAGTTCTCCCACCACCACTGCCCCCGTGACCCATCAGCATAGTCCCTTGTGCTCCTCCCTCCCCTCTTTGGAGCCCTCTACCCCCATTCCTGGTGACACCTTGTGTTTTTTAATGATATTGGATGAAACACTGTCTATAACAAATGATTCAGACATTATAAAGTGTTATGACTTGTTTTGATATCAAGATAACTTGCATAAGAAGAGAATTGTTGAAGAGTTGAAGATTTTTCTTCTTTTCTCTGAAATGATTTCTACTTCCTATCTGAATATGGTTATATTCAGATCTTATCATCTCAACCTCTTTCCCACTAAGTCTTGTACCCTATCTGTCCACACCCGCACCCACCCATGCACAAAGAGTCTCTCCCAGACCAAACTTGAGTCAGGCTTTTCTGAGTCCTCTTCTTTACTAGACCTCAACCTTGACCTATTAAAAACGGCAGTTTTTAGCACAATTTTGTCCTCCCCCTGCCTTCCTAATTATGAGACTTGAAAAAACTCTAATATGGTATTTAACAGCCTAAGGTCATGATCCTAGGATGACCCAGTTCTTCAGTTTTTATGTACAAAAATTCAAGGCTGTCAAAAGAATTGGTTCTCTATTCCAGCCACACCTGCTAGGCCTCTGACTTACTTTCCTTTAAGCATTTACTTAAAAGAACAAAAAAGACCTTACAATTATAATCTTTTTTGCTGTTCCTTTGAGGTGCATATGTATCTTCTGTGAGTTGGGAGTAATCTTTCTTCAGTACTCCAAAGCCATTCCTTTGAAATGTAAAAATTAGGAAGCATCAGGCCTCTCTTCCAGCCTCTGTAAGAGAGTAGGAACCTAACTTTGACAAGTGCCAGTTAACAGACTCAGATGCGTAATTGCACTGACGTTGACCAACCTCCTACCTGCTTTTTGTAATTTTCCACCTCCTTGACTCTGCTCCAACCCTCCCTGGTTCCTTCTCCTGACTCTCTACATTTTCCTTTAAAACTCCCAGTAGCAGGAAGATAGGATAAGATATCAGTGTAAAAATATAATAACAGTTCAAAACACAGCAAAGCAAAACCAGACAATTATAAATCAGAGACATCCTGCAGGGGAGGAGGAGGGAGAGGGATCAGAGGGAGGGAGGGAGGAGCACAGGGGACTGAGGTGATGGTGCTCGGGTGCATTGGTGAAGGAAACTATGGGGACTACACCTGAGGGGGTGGGGGGAAGCAAATATTGTTTAAAAATGAACAGTGATGTAAAAAATAATAAAAAAATTAATATTAAA